CGCATGTGGGCATAGGGTCCCCCTCTGTGTTTTGTTGGATGTGCCTTTTCTGTCGACTTTTTCTCAAAACTGAGAACCTCTAAGCAGCGGGGTGGCAGAATGAAAACTTGGCGTGCGAGTTCTGGAAGTGTTGCGCAGAGTTTACTCAATACAATACCGTCCGAAGAAAGAGCCCTAAATATCCCAAACCTTCAATAGCGCACAGGAGCAATCGGCCTTGCACGTAGCTTTATTGTTCGTCAAAACGTCCAGGTACAAAGTATTTTGTCACAGCGAAAGCGCGTGCACTTTACTGGAGAAATACAATTACACGTTTCAGACTGAAAGCTGAGCGCTCTTCTCAATATGAAACCTTTTTTTGGTTTGGTTGTTGATAAACGCAAAGCAACACAATGGGCTATCTGTGTTCTGCCCACAACGGGTATCAAAACCCAATTTTTAGCGTCGTAAGCCTGCAGACTCACCTCTGAAATCTCAGTAGTTTGTAATACATCGCTATATCTTCTAGCGAATCACTCGAAATCCACAACAACTGTTTTACAAGTCCACGAAAATTATACACAAACAAAAAAAAGCTTTAGTTTTAAACCTGTCTTCTCGGGTGTTGGAGTCAATCTGATAACAAATATGATTCTACTGTAGTATATTGTAGTGATTTGTATGGTAAAAAGATCTATAGATATTAGCTGCTAATATTAACTTGACAAAACTGACAGCTAACTCCATGTTCAATAACAATGATACTATATGATTCTACTGTAGTATATTGTAGTGATTTGTATGGTAAAAAGATCTATAGATATTAGCTGCTAATATTAACTTGACAAAACTGACAGCTAACTCCATGTTCAATAACAATGATACTATATGATCCTACTGTACGAACTTGTGGTGGTTTGTACGAACATGTTTGTTTGTAGTTAAGCACAAAGCTACACAAAGAGCTATCTGTGCTCTGTCCGCAGACATACCGCTGTGCCACTGGGTGGCTTGTACGAACATAATGTTTTAATATCTGAATATTATACATTAACAGTGGTTTTGAAGAGTCTTCGAATGTGAGTACGGTTCAGCTGGCAAGGTTCACAAGCCTTCTCCTGCTATATTTTTAAATATCTAGAGAACAGTTTAGATACACTAGATTTTTTTGGGGGAAACTGACTGACAGATTCTTAACACTGGAATGTTGAACTTTTTCGCCCCCCCCCCTTTTTTTATTTGACTTTTTTCTTCAGCTCCCAACTCCTCGCCTCTAAATCCGACTATCTTCCTAACAGACTTCCTGTCGGTTCCTCCAACATACCATGCTGATTACTGGCCTTTTGCACGTGCTTCAAGTGGACGTACCCTATAAGCACAGTGTCGCCCCCTTACGCCACATGTCCCACATCCCTCTTCTCTGGCCCTACAGCCTGTTCGGGCGTTCCATGGTTTAGTGGGGCTGTCCGCTGATCTGCCTTGCAAATATGCACATCCCAGATTGGATTACGTTAAAAGCTTTAGGTAGGCGATGCCCCTAGGAAGAGTGGGCCAAATGATAGACCGCTGAATACCCGAACACCTATTTGCCATAACCTACTTAAAGAATCCCGCACTCCTTTTAAAGCCAGTAATTGAACATGTAAAAATGAATGCGTAGACAACAAAGCTATGTTAAACGAATAAGGGAAAATAGCATCTGACAAAGTGAGGACCTTCGCCCAGCCCATTTGTTCTACAATTTTCTCCACAGAATAACTCTCATTCTCACGCGCTCCGTAATTACCACGTCTCTCTTCTTTTCTCGACTGGTACTACTTAACTAAATGGAATGAAATGATAAATGGATTCTGGACTTTTCCGAATCGGGTTTTAAATTCAGCTAGGAGACGGAACTGTTTCGAAACTAAATCGATAGCACATAAAGAGGGGGAAATATATTCGAACACTAACCGACTGAGAGAAAGATGACCATAATCATTCATTTCTAGGACGTTATGATTTTTAGGTTGTTTTCAAATGAATTACATTCCGATCATAGCTGGGACGATCTGTTTTTTTTACAGACTCGCCCCCTACACTAACGAATGTATGTATATATTAATAGAAGTATCAGCTGGAGAATTTATGAGCTTTCTTTTTAACTAGTTAGCAGTCGTAAAACAGGGAAGTTGGAGAATCTTTCAGATTTGTTTATATCGCTTTTAATTAAGCACAGTTCTCTTCTCACAAATTGGATGCGTTTTCTATGTCATGTCACTTCTGTAGTTATTTTATTCAATGGTTGTTGGAAAATTTAATTGTGCTATACATACAGGATGCTACAATAAAAGTTTTACACACTATATTATATATATATATATATACACACACACACACACATAATATATATACACACACACACACACATATATATATATACACACACACACACACATATATATATATACACACACACACACACATATATATATATACACACACACACGCATATATAT